AAATTAAGTAAAGATTGGCAGGGCTTATGTCATGGGTTGAGAAAATGTATTAATTTCTCATTACAGGAAGAAGTTAGCACGTTGAACCAGTACCTTTGTTCTTGTAGTTGGTTATATATTTTTTCTAGGGTAAGTTAGACAGTGTACTTACTATAATATTGAAGTTATACAAACTGAAGAGATTTCACGTAAAACACGCAAAGGAAGACTGACAAATTTTGAAGTTTTTAAATTAGTAATTTAAAACCTAGATAATATAAAAATTTAAATTATAAATTACACCCTCGTACTAATTTTATTAACTTACATTGATGATAAAAAATTTTAATTACCTTTTAAATGTGACATGCTCATTAAATCCAAGCACTCATATAAAAGGTCAAGTGTGCATTAGTTGATGCAGACATATTTGCATGCAACAGCTAGAAAAGATTGACATATGTCAAAATTGGTGCTAGGATACGACAGTAATGGAACAAATGAGGTAGTTTTGGAGACTGAGTGTAGCTTTGAAATGTGTCAGCACCACGGAAACAAATTGATTCTGACGGGACAGGTTATTATCTTATAATATGACAAATCAGTCCATTGATGTACAAGTTACAGTAGTCAAAAGATGTGAGAAATCACGAAGAACACGTCGACGAGCTGCATCCATATTGTGCCATTGAGCCTATCATGCATTGGTTCGACCAGGAATCAGAGGATAAGAGTGGTCTCATATAACTTTGCTCTGTTGATGAGGTGGAAAGATCTGAGAGTATTGATTAAAGATTAAAAAGCCCCAAAGCTAAAGATAAGTGAAACCACAACGTTTAGCCAAGCTGCTGCTGACAACCTCCTGATTGATATAGCTGAGATTAACATTGATTATCAGAAAGTAAGACAGCTGGTACCAGTAGTTTGTATAACTTAGAATAATAGCTAGAAGTCTGAAAAATCAGCTTTAACGATGGCATGATCTTTGCTATTCGAGTTAATGTGTCATACAATGAACCCATTGCACTGTTTACCACTCGCTTACTAATAGTTAGGATAGTTTGTTGATCATAAGATCAACTAGATCAAAATGACTGTGCAACCATTACTTTTCAAGCTATCGAACAGTTTCACTATAAGAGGTATCCACAGGATATCAGATGATAGTTGCTTGATTATCACACAGTTTAAGATGACTGGTCTAGTGTATGTAATTCTTAAAGCTTCAGTAGTTTGCATAAGTATAAGAGATAAAATTTCAGAAAAGCATCATAACTTTAAGAAATTCAAATTGTTTAGTATGACCGGAGATTTAGAAAATTATAGAAGACCAAGAAAGTCAGTGAAACAGGAAATTGGGACATTAAAAGCGTACATGAAAAAAATGTTGGCTGAAAACGTAAAAATTATCAGTAAGGATTTCTTTAAATACATTAAGGGTGAACATAATGGTGGGATGGGGTAGGACCCTTGAGGGCTAATAAAGAAAAACTTGTATATGATGGTTATGAGATGACTGTGTTATAAAATTCGGCTTTTTCTTCGGTTTTTACTCATGAAGATTTGAGCAGTATTCCACATCTTGAACAGTTGACAGATGGAAACAAGATTACTACATTAATTCTGAGCTGGTTAAGAAACAATTGGGAAGTTTAAAGAACGATAAGGCTCCTGGGCCATATAATATTTCCCCAAGAGTTTTGAAGGAGGTTAAAGATTGGATATGTGAGCCACTTACTACTATTTTTTGTATGCCCTTGAATTGTGGGCAGGTACCAGAGGATTGGAAGTTAGCTAATGTAACTCTTCTTTTTAAGGGAGGTAATAAAAATTGTCCCAGTAATTATAGATTCATTAGTCTTACATCAGTTGTGTGAA